TTTCCTGATAAATCCTTTCTGCCAATGTGGCTGCCACACGTTCCCTCGTGGACCTCTATGATTACCAACTCAATCTCATCTTCAACTACACACCTCAACATGGGTGTGGATTTGTCCATCTTATACAACATGTCAGGAACTATAAGATGTCGTGCAAATACTCTTTTTATGCGCTTCGCTTTATTGTTCTCTTCAGGTTAAATCCCTTGTGTTAGGTATTGAACTATTGGGGTCATCCAGCCGGTTAGGTTCCCGACTGTCATGGCTTATTCTTGATCTGTGCTCGGTTTCTCAATGATTTCTTGTATCAATGTTTTATTCAGCCTCGGCCCTTTGGTGCTGGCAAGCTTGGCTATCACATCAGCCCAACAAATTTCTTCTCTCAGAATATGTTTGATCTCGAACTCAGAGAAGGTCTTGGATAATCTCAATGTGATCTGTACATATTTTAATAAAGCGGGATCCTTTGTTTTTTATACTCTCCATTTAATTTCCCAGATACCAATTGTAAGTTTGTTTTAATCATTAGATGGGTTATTCCAATCTCCTTGGATAACCTCATTCTGGTTAACAATGCTTCGTACTCTGCTTGATTATTGCTAGTCTAAAAATTAAAAGCCAAAGAGTATTCAAGTATGTACTCTCCTGACCCTTCAAGCACGATCTCGGCTCCACTTCCTTTCAAGTTCGAGGATCCGACTACGTGGAGGATCCACCTGGACGGGTTGTCCTCAGGGAATGGTGCACTTAATTCCACTAGGAAGTTAACTAATACCTGAGATTTGATGCTTGTTCTTGGAGTGAATTCAATGTCATACTCAGATAACTCTAAAACCCACTTAACCATTCTTTCGGCCAGGTTTGTATTTTTTAAAATTTGATTTATTGGAAAGTTGGCTCTCACTGTTATCGAATGGCCTTGGAAGTAACATCTTAGCTTTCTTGCTGTTGTCACCAGCGCTAGTGCCAATCTTTCAATTTTCTGGTATCGGACTTCAGTTCCTTTGAGAACCTTGCTAACAAAGTAAATTGGCCTCTCTCCATCCTCCCCCTCTTGTACGTGGATGGAGCTCATGGCCCTGTCAGATAGGGCCAAGTACACGATTAATGGCATGTTTTCTCTGGGCCTTTCCAGTATCGGAGGGGAAGACAGAAAGCGCTTCACGTCTTAGAAAGCTTCTTCGTATGTCGCAGTCCATTCAAACTCCTTGGACTTTCTAAGAGTTGCAAAGAAATGAATTGATCTGTCCCTACACGAGATAAAAATCGTGATAAGGCATCCAGTCTCCCGGTTAGCTGTTTAGCCTCCTTCTCTGAAGATGGACTTCGCATGTTAATAATTGCCTGGAATTTATATGGGTTAGCTTCAATTCCCCAGTTTGTGAGCATAAACCCTAAGAAATTTTTGGCTTGTACCCCAAAGATACATTTGTATGGGTTCAGCCTCATATTATGGCTCCTTATTGATACAAAAGTCTATGTGAGATCTTCAACATGTCATTTTTCCGAGATTGTTTTCACTACTATATCGTCCACATAGACCTCTAAGTTTCTTCCAATTTGGGTCACAAATATCCTATCCACCAACCTTTGGTAGGTAGATCCTACGTTTTTGAGACCAAAAAGCATTACCTTATAGTAATAGTTGTTTCTATCAGTCATTAAAACTGTTTTTGGAGCGTTGGTCGGGTTCATACGGATCTGATTGTACCCGAAGTAAGCATCCATAAAACTGAGTAGTTGATACCCTGAGGTTTCATCAATGAGTCTGTCTATTTGAGGCAGTGGATATGGATCTTTGGGGCAAGCTCTGTTGAAGTCTGTGAAGTCCACGCACATCCGCCATTTCCCATTTTTCTTCTTTACCATTACCACGTTGGACAACCACATCGGATATTTGATTTTTTTAATGAAGCCAACATCTAATAACCTTTTGACCTCTTCTGTCACAGCTTTCCTCTTCTCATCGCCACCTTTACGTTTCTTCTGAGAAATCGGTTTAGTATCTAGTTTCAGAGCCAAATGATGACACATGAAGTTGGGATCTATTCCTAGCATGTCAGACGGCTTCCAGGAAAATAGATTCACTTTCTCTTTTAATATTATTATGATCTCCTTTTCCTCTTCCGTAGAAAGGCAGGTTTCAATGTAAGTTACCTCCGAGGGCGAATTTCCAATTTGAATCTTCTTGGTTTCTTCGTGAGGAGATAAACCACCTCATGGAGCGTCATCCCGAGGATCAATGTCCATCATATTGATTTTAAGGTCCTATGAACAAACGAGTTCTCCAGGTTGACTATTCTTTTTCAGCTTCAAGCTGTTCTTGTAACATTTACGTGCTAACCTTTGATCACCTTTGACCACCCCTACCCTTCCTTCCCCCAACTGGTACTTTATGGTGAGGCACAAGGTAGATAAAGTAGCTTCTAGGGAGTTGAAAGATGGCCTTCCCATGATGATGTTATAGGGTGAGGCAGCATTAACAATGTGGTATCTTACCTTTATCGCTTTTGCATTCCCCCCAGTTTTGAAGGTAGTGAGTACTGGTAAATATCCCAACACTTGAACCTATTCTCCTGAGAACCTGACTAGAGAGTCATTGAAGGGAAGCAGCTCGGCCGTATCAAACTGCATCCCTTTAAAATCCTACCAATATAACACATCTGTTGAGCTCCTCAGATCTACCAGTATCCTTTTTACGCTCCAGTCTCTGATTTGGACCTTGATGACCATCAGGTCATTTTCGTGAGCCAGGATCCCCACGGAGTCTAGTTTGGAGAAGCTCACCAGGTTTAGTTTATGCTCTTGTTTGATTGATGAATTTTCCGAAACATGTATCACAGCTTGGGCGTATCTTTTCCTTGATGAACTTGTTTCTCCACCTCCAGCGGATCCGCTAGTGATGGTGTTGAGAGTATGGCGGGCAGAATTTGTTTCACGAACCTCCTCAGAACCTTTCATATTCTTATTGGAAGGCTCCTCAGGTCCTGAGCTGTCTCTTTGCGAGTTCCTCTTCCCGGAGTGTGACTTGTTGTCTTTCACGTAGGAAAATAGGTGCCCTCTCTGTATCAACACTTCAATTTCCTTCTTAAGTTCGTGGCATTCATCGGTGTGGTGTCCCCGAAGTTAGTGGTAACTACACCAAGCACTGGTTTCCCTCTCCATCACGGCGTAAGCCCCTTTAGGACAGGCTGGTGCTGCTGGGATCAAATTCAGGTGGCCAACTTCCTGCAATATTTTGCTCCTTCGAGTGTTCAACAGAGTCAAATATTCCTCCAAAACCAAAGGTTTACGATTTTTTCTCCGACCAGTGTTTCCCCCAGGGTGTTCTCCGACACGCTCTCAAACGGCGTATCGGGAAGGTTCTTGTCTTCTCCCAGTACCTTTTTCCTTGCTTTTGGCCTTTTTGGTAGTATCTCTTGAGCGTTTCTCCCTGTTGCTCTCTTCTCCTTTGATATAGAATTTTGCTCTGTTGATGATTTCTTCCATATTGGAAGTCGGCTTCAGAGCCAGGGATTCATTAAACTGTCTGGCTCGTGGCCCATGCTGAAACGCTCCGAAGAAGAATTCTTGGTTAGGGTGTGAGACTTTGATGGCCTCTTCATTGAGCCTGGCCAAGTATTCGTGCAGGGATTCTAATTTCCCTTGTCTAACGTTAAACATGGTGGTGGTTGACACCTTACGGTGTTTATTGGATGAAAAGTGTTGTATCATTTTCTTGGTTAAATCTCTGTAACTTCCACGGAAAATCGGGGTAAACTCATGTACCATCTTAAGGCAACGTCTTTGAACGTTCCGACCATGAGCTTAAACTTGAGTGAATCATTGAGACCAGTTATTTCCATCTGATTGTTAATAGCAATAATATGCTCCTGCAGATCAGATTTACCATCATAAGTTGCGAGCGATGGTGCCTTGAAGTTATCCGGGACTTGGTCATCCCATATTACTTGAGAGAGCGGCTGAGGTTCTAAAGGCTCCTCCTATGGATGATCCTCTGCCTGACTCCTTTGTTGTAGGTCAGCGGCATTATCCTGTAAGGTGTCGTTCTGTTGTCTTAGAGCGTCCACCATGGCCAATAGCTGGGCCATGTCTGGAGGGTCTCTTGGAGAGGACATTCTGCTGATTGTTGTTCGTTGTGTGGCCTGGAAAAGTTTTACCGAGGCCCCACAGTGGGCGCCAAATATTCTTGTGTAGGAACACTAAACGAGTAGCTTCCCTATAGGAATAGGGAGAGCCTCAAAAGTAGATTTTTGTATGTATTATTGGAGATTTGAGAGCTACGCCTGCAGTGCATATTGTCTCAAGAATAAGTCTCTTGCTTATCCCTTTGTTGGGAGCCCCTTATATAGACTTCCTTTAAGAGCTACATTTATGAAGTGACTCTTCACTTTGGTCAGTTACGTTCATTTGGCAACGTTTGCCGTCAGTCATGATTGGCATAATTAATCTCTTGTAACGCTGATGTTAATGAACTGGAGACCCTTTCGGGAATTACGTGCGGGCTCTGCATGTGACCTTTTCGCTGATGCTTAGGTCGCGCCCTGGATAGTGGTTCCCGGACGAGGATCCCTGCCGTAACTATTGACACTATCCGAAGCTATGCTTATTTCGTGAACCTGGGTCCTTGAAGTTCCTTCCTCCCTATGCTTCCTCCGGCTTGAGATCTTGGCTGCCAATTGAAATTTTCCCGAGGTTATAACAGTCTGTTTATGGTTACTTTCCTCAAAATTTCTTATATGAATAAAATATATTGGTTTCTCATTCACACTCAAATGACAAGAGAGTAGTTGCATTTCTATCCTATTTTAAATATATTTTGAAACGAGTCATCTCTTTCGGTTTGCTGAGCTAAACAAGTTGACTTATATTAAATATATAACTAGTTGTCTGCTTAATTTCCTTGAAATTTCATCGGAAAGAAAGGAAAGGATTTCTCACTTGTTCCCTCCTAGAATATAGTCAATTCTCTGTTAGTGAAAGTAAGATTGTGCAACAAAATGGTTTTCATGCTGAACCAATTTTTGACAAGTCGGATGAAGCCAATTATATGGAGATTTGAGTGTTTTGTTTCTTCCGTGGTTGGACTGCTCTGTTATGCTCTTAGCTCTTCCTTCAATAATCTATTTGGGAAGTGGAACTTTTTCAAGGTATTTCTTTATATCATGTTCAGTTTCACTATCTGCCTGGCTGTCTTGTTTGCAAAAACATGCCACAACTCGAACTCGAACACTAGTCTTCGACTCAAAGCTCATTTAGTATTCTCGGTTTTCACAATCACTACAATTTATTCCTTCTTTTTTGATAAAGCTAATGGAAAACCAGATTTGTACAGTCTTATTTCGTGTGCTGCTTTTGCCATCATGTCTCTCAGTTTGTCAAAGCTAACAAACTTGGGTTTTGAGGTTGATCTCCTATACTTTTTTTGTGGTTATCTAACTTTACAACTCATGAAAATCAAATTGTTTCTAGTCATTGTTGGAGTGATTTTCAGTTATTTTCTCATCTTCCTTCGTTTTTATTTGGGCAACCAAACCGAAATTGTGCATCATAGACTCCAAGTCCATGAACAACATTCTGTAGTCATTCAAGTCCAAGCAGATTCTGCAGAATCCAGCACTGCTTCAGAAAACGTCCATGTTATCATACGAGAAGAAGCCAATAATTCTGAAAGTTCTCGAGTCAACTCCGGTCAAGAAAACATGGATATAAGAGGAGTCGTTCATTTCAATTCAATACCACAACAACACAATAGCGATGATAAAGGTCGTATAAAGTTGGAGAAATATACAAGGGCTCTGACTAAGATGAATGAGAAGCTTAATCAAATGATTTGGAAGGAGCTTATTGATAATATTAATAATAACAATAATAATAATGAGTACATGATTTGGCAGCATTCCTACAAAATCACTGGGATGGAGAAAGTTATAGAAGGCCTAAACAAAATTGTGAGGAAGATGGTGAAGGCTGGGTTTAAAACACAGTCTTGGGAAGTGTACAACATTTTCCGAAACAATTTCTTGAACATGTGCCTATGTAGACTTGGATTGCAGGATGTCAATTTGTATGACTTTGAGAATAAGAGTATTCAGAGTTTGGTTAACGCTTTTTACATGACTCTGAGAATACTTCTTCCTAATGAGAGAAGAATTTGGGGCCGCGTCTTTTCTGGGTTCTCTCTTGACTGTTGCATTTTTTCCAAGTCAGAATGGAGGAGAGTGGAAATTGAGTTGTGGACAAAACTATTAGTGTCAGAGACGCATAGTTGCTACAATAGGTTGAAGGATACTTTTCTCGGTTGTGAGGTTCATCCCTTTACTCATGAAGTTATGAATTGCATCCGCAATGTTTCTGAAGATCACGATAATGCAGCTAATTTCCAGATCCATGAACTGATACAACTATTACATAGTAATTTGGTTGCAAAATCAAAAAACTGTACAGACCCTGCTTTAAGGAACCTTTTCATGTTGAATAACAATAGGTACATAGAATTGGTGGCAAGATATGGTCCCTTGAAAACCCTTTTGAGCGAAGAGTGGACTCAAAAGCAAACATCAAGAGTACACAGAAACATTAGAAAGTATACAGGATGCTCATGGAATAAGGTTCTTAACTTAATAAAGAAAAGTGAGTCAATGGCCCCTAATGTAGAATCAATGAGATTGTTCAATATCTACTTTTCAGATATATGCAAGCTTCAGAATTGTTTTATTGCTGATAAGGGTATAAGGGAATCAATGCAAAGGTCCGTGAATAAGATTTTATTGCCACAGTATGAAAAATTCATTGGTAGGTTCAAAGATGTTCATGGGAAGGATGTTGTTGATATGTATGTTAAGTACGGAATGTCAGACATTGAAGATGGTCTCTATTATTTCTTTCATGGAAGTGATTTGGAGAAGAGGAAATCGTTCATGGCCGCTCACAGTCACAATGTAGTCAACAGGTTCCTTGCTAGTGTGCAGCCACAAAGATAAGTGATGTTTAAATTTTTATGTTACTAGATATAAGTGAAAATAAGTATTCATTATCAATGACAATGCAAAGTTGAAAAGAAAAGATAGTTATGATAATAAACATACACTATTAAACCAAGGAATTTGTTATGATAATAAGCTTCTTTTATTTAGACGATTTGTATTAAGTTGTGATAAATTCATACATCAGCAATCACAATTAATAACACATCATGTGATGAGTTTTTCCTGTTTGGGAGTTGAGATAAACTATAAAATAGTAACTCAGATTAAAGTGAGTACAAGAAAACTTATAGTAAATTGATGGAAAGAGAAGGAGAAAAACACTTATAGTATATTGATGGAAACAGAATCAGAGAAACACTCCTTAAATCATACTCATCTGTTTGTTACATTGATTGGCTATCAATATCATACTTTCTTACTCTTTTTTTTTTCTAGGTACTTTCTTACATTTCTAATCATCATAGAGAAAATATTTTTAGAAAAAAAAGATCAAAAGAGAGTTTAACTAGCATATGTATAGGTGAGATTGTAATAATTATTTAGAATTTAATTGATATGTATTCATGGTATAAATTTTTTTTTACACTTTCAATTAATCGTGGCGGTTAAGTATTTATAAATTTTTAATTTTGATTTTAATTATTTATAAAATTACATTTATGAATTATTATAATGCATTGACCGTATAAAGAAATTTACACTTTGCATAATAATTAATTTCTTTTTGTATTCTCATTAATTTAAAAAAATTAATAACAATGATTAATTTAACCTTTTCAAATTACTCCATTTGAAAACCCATAATGAAAGACAAACTCTACTACAAAAATTTGTATGAATCTTTCAAAAATAAAAAATCAAAGCCAACTGACAATTTTGATGATGACTGGAATTTGATGAATAGTAAATACGATTTTTTATTAAAAAATCTTTGATAAAATAAAATATTTAAATCGATGTTGTAAAGAAAACAAAAAGTAAGCTACATAATAAAGAAAAACATAGTATAGAAAAGAAAGAAATACAACGAAAATAAAAGAACTGTGAAAGTGTAAAAAGATAAAAATTGAGAGAAATGCACTAGAAAATTATAGAGTTCAGGCTAACCACTTTACCTATTTATCTATCTAAAAGTTTTCTCTTAATAATTTCCACTATGGTCTAAATGTAACTTTTGTACAAGAATATGCCCAAGAACCTTCTTACAAGACAAATTGGAGTTTTACAAACACTAACCTTTGAACCAAACAGAAATTTTGACAATGGCTAACCTTCCAACCAAATACGAGATTTTATACCAGAGTAATCTTGAAACAAATAGAGCTTGTATACCAAGTTAAGCTCACGATTGAGCATAGATTTTAACGGACAACCTGAGAAACCAAATAAGAGCTTTTATAATGGGCTAAACCCACGAATAATACAAAAAATTTAACAGAAAATCTCACAAATCAAAAAGGAGATTTTAACTGGTTTAGCTCATTTCCAAATAAACAATTTCTCACAAGTGATATTACAAAAGTACCAAAACACTAGAAGCAAAAATCTCACAAGTAAATTTCACTCCCAGAGCACTAAGGCAAAAATAGTGAAGAAAGAAAGAGAAAGATAGACAAAAATAGCTTCAGCAAGGATGCTGGAAGCACGTCGAAGGCTATTCTCAAAGTCATATACTCTGATGTATCTAGACTAATTCAGGTGGATTCGATGGGAGGTAACAAATACTTTGTTACATTCATAGATGATTTCATTCGAAAACTGTGGACTTACCTGATCAAGAAGAAAAATGAAGTGATTGAGGTATTTACCAAGTTTAAATTTATGGTCGAAAGACAAAGTGGTTGAAAGCTTAAAGTTTTGAGAATAGATGGTGGTGGAGAATATGTGTCGAAAAGGCTTTGACAAATTATGTGAAAAAGAAGGGATTGTGCACGAGGTAGTGCCACCCTACACTCCACAGCATAATGGAACTGTATAAAGGAAGAATCGAACCATCATGAATATGGTGAGAAGTATGTTGAAAGGCAAGCATTTACCTAAAGATTTTTAGGGTGAAGCTGTGTCGACTACAACATACATTTTGAACAGATGTCCAACGAAAAAGTTAGAAGGAATTACTCTAGAAGAATGTTGGTCTGGTGTGAAGCCTAACTTAAGTAATTTGAAGGTATTTGGATCTATTGTACATAGACATGTGCCAGATCAGTTAAGAAGAAAACTTGATGACAAGTCAAGTCAAATGATCCCAGTAGGATATCATTCAACAGGAGGTTACAAGTTGTTCAATCCAGTGAACAAGTAGATTGTGATTAGCAGGGACGTGATCATAGTTGAGCTTAAAGAACGAGATTGGAATGAAAATGTCAAGAAAGATTCACTAAGAGTATTGATTGAAGAACTAGAAACTCAAGTCGAAAGAGAAGTTTGAAAAGAGGAACCAACAGTTGTAGATCAACCAAATACAAGCAGACCTTAGAGAATAAGACACATGTCTACAAGGTTGCAAGATTGTATTGTTATATCAGGTGATGTAGTTAATGATGAGGGTGAGCTAGTATATTATGCTTTTTATGCAGATGTCGAACCAGTCAATGTAGTTGAAGCAATGAAGGATTTGAAGTGGGTGAAAGCGATGAACGAAGAAGTGAAGTCTATCGAAGATAACAACACTTGGTCACTTGTCGAATTGCCTTAAGGCAAGAAGGAAATTGATGTCAAGTGGGTATACAAGCTGAAGATGAATCCCAAAGGTGAAGTAACTCGACACAAGGCAAGGCTTGTGACGAAAGAATTTCTTCAGAAAGAAGGAATAGACTTCGACGAAGTTTTTGTACCTGTTACTAGAATTGAATCAATTAGGTTGGTTGTTGGTCTAATAGAAATAAACAGTTGGCACATATGTCAAATGGACGTGAAGTGTGCATTCTTGAATGGAGCTTTAGACGAAGAGGTTTATGTTGAACAACCAATTGGGTTTGTGAAACATAACCAAGAGAGAAAGGTGTATAGGCTGCATAAATCTCTATATGGATTGAAACAAGCTCCAAGAGCTTGTAATAAGAAGATTGATAGTTTTCTAAGAGAAAAGGAATTTGTGAAGTGCACAACTGAACATGGAGTATATGTAAGAAGAAGCAATAGTAAATTGCTTATACTATGTCTCTATGTCGATGATTTGTTGATAACATGTAGCTGCAAAAGTGAGATCGAAGACTTCAAAGGTGATCTCAGCAAGGAATTTGAAATGTCTGATCTGGGTGACACTTCATATTTTTTTGGCATCGAATTCTACAAGAGTAGTAGAGGTTTGATGATGTATCAAAGAAGATATACAAGAGAGATTCTCAAAAGATTTGAGATGGAAGAATGCAACTCGACTTCTACACCTGCAGAACCAAGACTACAATTATCGAAAAATTCAGAAGAAGATGATGTCGATCCAACCCAATACAGAAGACTTATTAGGTCATTAAGATATCTTTGTCATACAAGGCCTGACTTAGCATACAGTGTAGGTATGGTAAGTAGATTTACGCAGAAGCCAAAGGTATCACACCTAGCAGCAGTGAAGAAGATATTGAGGTATCTGAAGGGAACTCTCAACTATGGTATTTTATTTCCTACAAATGATAAAGGAAAAGAATGCAAATTAGTGGAATACACTTATTTGAGTTGGTGTAGTGATGCTAGGGATCGAAAATTCAAAGCAGGATATGTGTTTATGCTAGGTGGTGCAACAATTGTTTGGAGTTCGAGAAAGGAACCGGTAGTGACATTATCATCATGCGAAGTAGAGTACATAATTATTTCTCTTTGTGCATGTCAAGCAACATGGATGGTGAACTTGGTCGAAGAGATAACAGGTAAAGGTCATAGAGCAATTACCATGAAGATCGACAACATGTCAGCTATCAACTTAACAAAGAATCCGATAGCACATAGTTGAAGCAAGCACATCAAAATGAGGTTCCACTATCCTTGAGAGCAAATAGCAAATGGGAAGATGAACTTGGAACACTGCAGAACTGAGAATCAGATTGCAGACAAGTATTTTGAAGACTAAGAGCTATGATAAATGTATATAGCTTAAACACAATGAATTATGTGGTGCGTTGAAAGTAATTTCTTGTGTCGAAGTAGTTTACTTGACAAAGACAAGGGAGTGTCGAAAAAATTTGATTTGATTTAGAAGTGTAGAAATAGTTTATTACAAACATATTTAATTTAGTTTTAGATTTAGATTCAGATTTAAAATAGATTTGATTTAGTTCTAAAATAAGTATTTTGGGCTTTCATAGTTTTGGGTTTTGTCTTAGAGAACAAACTAACCTAAATCTATAAATAGAGGGAGTAATCTCTACTTTTGTAATCTCAAGTCAATCAAGTTGTATTTACAGAATTTGCAGTTGCAAGTTAATAACAAAGGTTTTTACAGTTTGTGGATAGAGAGAAACTATGCAGAAAAATAATTATTTTTCTTTCATATTATTCATCGTTATTATATGATAATAATAATCTTTTTCATCAAAATTGATATAAATCATCATAAATTTTAATGGATTTCCAATCTATCCATACAGAAAACACCAATGGAAGTTGGAAGTTACAATAACAGTTTAAGACAAAGTGAAATCTTCTTCCTATCATGATACCGAAACAAAGCTTCCGGAATAGGCAGTATACGTCTCGGTCAAGTTACCGAAACTACTCTGTCCCTTCGGCACGTATACGAGTTTGCTAAGGTGAAACAATCAGATCTATTCTTCCTGAACATGCCTCTTGAAACTGATATTTATACATTTTATAAAGTATTAACTAACAAGAACACTAACAAGTTTTTACTAACTAAGTAAAACTGATTTTCATATGATTGTTCAACAAACATCTTGTAATAAAAAAGACTGGTTGAGTTGATCTTGAATATCAGACATTTCATACTCTATATAGTCGGCTGCATTTTTACCAACAACTTTCTGAAACATACGGATGAAGTTTCCATATGCTGGCAACAAAAAGCTTTGTATGAACATTATCATTTGTTTCCTTAGTTGCTCATCAAAAACACGCCATTTAGACTGTATTCCACACATTTCCTTAAACTTTTGATTGAACAAATTGAGTATGTCTTTCATTGAATCTATTTCAGAAATGGGTGCCACTGACTCTTTTATATTCATATCCAAAAAGTTTATCAACTTATTCCAAGAACTTGTACAATAGAGTTCAAAGTATTTTCTCATGTTTATACAAAACCTATCATCCCAAAAAGTTTCCAAGCTGCACTTAACGTGACGTAGATTATTTATCATGAAAAGATTGCGCAAAGCAGGATCTTCATAAGCTTGTGACTTAGTTTCCAGTTTTCTCTCAAATTGCTCCAGTATCAACTCCATCTGTGAATAAAATAAAGATGTTCCCGCCCCATCAGTAACAACCAAGGGGTGTGCTCTTAAAATTTGCTCCAGGCTCTTTCTTGACCAACAAGCCATAACAATGTAGCCGGTGGCCGCGCAGGTCATTGGATGAATGCCACCATCAACCCAACAATCAAACTCCGCATCCGATGTAAGGAATATCATATCTCCAAATTCCATAAAAATGCTTCTACATATTTCACCCAATTTATTTTTTATTTTTATTGCTTCATTCACTAACGAATCGCATCAATTAATTGTTTCATGTGAAATCGCATCAATTATGAAGTTGTGGTCAGTCACTACCAATTGATTGTTACCTTTCACCTTTTCCAAAAGCATTTTGTCAATGCTTGAATTGTTTTTGTGTAAATCTTTCATACATGTTCCAAACTGTTGCAACAACCGTTCCAACTCTGTATAAAAGTGTTCTCTTTCTTGTGAATCAACTTGAATGCCTACAAGTTGTTCTTCAGGTCCAAAAGAATGATTCTCTGATGTCGCATTTAAGCAAGCGAAAGAAAACCGAAGAATAATAAGACAATAGGTATAACAGACTCCAAGAATAGCCAAGAATAAATTAAACTTCAGGAGTTGTACAATTAAACATCCTAGATAAAAGTACATAAAATCCACTTCAAATCCACACTGAATTTGCCTTGATAAACTTAGTGACATGAGAGCAAAGGAAGCATATGAGATGGAACTATATGCATCTGGTTTTCCATTCATAACTTTATCAGAGAAAAAAGAATAGACAGATGTAATTACCAATACCAGAAATGCTGAATGAGCTTTGAACCGAAGACTTCTTGAGTCTCGCCATGTTCTTGCAAACAAAATAATTAGACAAATGATGAAACTGAAAATGGTGTAAACAATAATCTTCCAGAAATTCCAATTTCCAAATAGATGGTTGAAGGAAGAACTTAGAGCATAACAAAGCAATCCAACAATAGCTGATGCAAACCCAACAAATCTCCACACCTTTGTATGCATCATCCACCTATGAGTTTGGATGAACAAGGGTGTCATGTTCTCTCTTTCAGCCTATGCTGTTATTGGAAATTTCTTACACAAACAGAAGAAACCAATTTCTACTTTGGATAATAAGAAGCTATAAATAAAACTTGAGTAAAAGTCTAGACAATAATTTAGAGTACCTGATTTGCGAAAATATTTATTTTAACATGAGTTTTTGACTTTAAGACCTACTATGTTCTCATGTTCACACTATATTTTGTCAACAACATGTGATGAATTGTGACCATAGATTAAAATAGATGTTTCTAGTCCTAATTGTGAAGTTAACCTCTACATCATTCTCCTCTCTTATTTTAGGAAACATATCAGTCTTAGAAGCCAAATACAAATTAACACACTACACATTGAAAATTAAGCACTATGCCGATAAGAATATCCAATAGACTAATAAAGAAAAAGCTATGGAGAATATTAGGTTTCTTTTCAAGTATCACTGGACTTATTTCTTATGCATTCAGCTCTTCTTTCAATCATCTTTTTGGAGAGTGGAACTTGATCAAAATTGTTATCTACACTGTGGTAAGTTTCATTATAAGTAGCATGATGTTATTTTTGAAAAGATTGAAACTTTCAAGGAGATTCTTGCTGAAAGCTCATTTGGGTGTTCTTGTTTTGTTGCTGACATCTTTGTACTCTTTCGTATCTGATAATAAAAATTTGAATGGGAAACCAGACCTATTGAGTCTGATTTCGTGTGCAGCCTTTGCTTTAATGTCTTTTTGCTTATCAAGACATATCGATCTTGGTTTTGAATCTGATCTACTCAATTTCTTCCTTGGAATTTTTACTCTTCAATTGATGAAAATCAATCTGATGCTCTCTATCATTGCTGCAATCTTCTGTTATTCTCTTATGGTTCTTCGTTCTAATTGGGATTCTCGCGGCGAGATTAGAAATTTAAGAGTGGAAAATGGTAGCGATCATGGTCATGTAGCCATAGACGTCGATGTTTTAGATAATAGTAGCCAACAGAACCAGAACCTGTCTTTAAGAAGAAGGTTCAATCATGATGATGGGTATAACTGGAAAAAATATGAAGATAAATTAGCAAAAGGAAATGGAAACCAGAGAAGCTATTATAAATGTACTTGGCCAAATTGTGTTGTGAAGAAAAAAGTGGAGAGAACAATTGATGGAGATATAATTGAGACAGTATACAAAGGTACACATAATCATTGCTGGCCTACTTCTATAAGGAAGAGGAACTCATCATCAGAATATCTTTATTCACTTTTGCCTTCAGATACTTCTCCCATTGACTTGCGAGATCAATCATTTGACAGAGAAGAAGTGGATTTTGATGCAGAACATGAAAGCTCATCACTATCAATATGAAATGTTAACATTTCGATAGAGAACAAATGAGTTGTTTCAATTCGAAGGTTTGTGTTAGCTAGTTTCTGATAGAGGGTAACACTATGTTTATTTTCTCACAGACACCTCTATAATTACGTGTGTCAAGGTGTCCAAACCACACTAATATCGGTCACTTATAAGACACTCGTACGACACATTTTCGAAAAGTAAGACAGTTATATAACTATAAGTTCATAGACTTCATGCATGAATTAATTCCAACCAATCCAAAGCTGAACTAGTAAGAAATATTACATGATATGAACTATTTCTATATATATTAGTTGTAAATTAGAACTATTTATATATAAATTAAAGTTATTTTTTCTTGAAGTGTCTCTAGTTGTCTTGGCCAACGTCTTTATTCTCCTCATGATAATATCTTTCAATTGTAAAGTTAGATATCTTTAGCCAAAATATAAAATATCAATTTCGAAACAAAACACACAAATCTTACAATTTGGTTGACCATAGACGTTATGTTGTTTCAGAAGCGGGTGAGATGATGAAAAGAGTCTATTTCTTTCTTTCTTTGAGGAGAATTTCAAGGAAATTAAGGTTACAAATGGAAAATATTCTTTAGTTGACCTGCAACAAGTTATGTTTATCTTTCATTTGTCTAAGCAATATGATTTTTTTAATCTAAACCCTGTCAATTTCTTTCAACAAATAATAAGATTAATCATTTTGAAATATTTAAGTGTACATTTGGTTTCACCTGTAAAAGAGCCAAAAGTGATTATATGATTTTATAATTGATTTTGACATATATGTTTTTTTAAAAGGAGAATTAATTTGTTTCGTGAATTATTTAAAGTTAAAATTTATAATTTTTTAGTTTTAAGAGCTACTCTAATATTGATTTTTCCAACAATTTTTATTTTGCTCATGAATAGAGTTTCCCACGTGGGAGACTATAGAAAAGAGAAGCTACATTCAAAATTTTGTTTTTAATATTATTAAATTAAAACTAGTCGTTCAACTACTAGAATGTTTGTTTGTTTTTTATTTTTATATAAATATAGGTTTTAGAATAAATTTACCAATACAATCTTTCTTTCACTTTTATTTTATCTTAAATTTTAAATTTCTCTTTCATAATTTTATCATTTTATTCTTAAATTTTTTATTTTTCTTCTCATGATCCTTCTTTTGACAAAATATTTAACCTAAATTTTTATCTTTTTACTTCAAATTAAAATTGTTTAGGCCAAATGAATTCTAATCATTTTTATTATCAAAAAGCTATGTTCAATTACATGCAAAATTATCAAAATCATAATCCTCAAAATTCACAATTTTCATCGGTGTCAACAAATCCTGTCATATTTTTTCCGTCACCAAAATAATCAAAATATCATAGACCTTAAATGAATTATAATAGTATGGAATTTTCTACTCAAGTTCCATCATTTTCTACTGAAGTTGGTACTGAAAAAAGAAGAAAGAGTTGTCGTTAAAAAAAATCTCGAGAGCAATTTACAAGGGATGGGGATATACTTCTTATCCAATCATGGCTCAAGTCTCAAAGGATCCAATTGTGGGAGTTGATCAAAAAGTTGAGAGTTTTTGGTTAAGAATCACTGCCAATTATAATTAGTATCATGGATAATCGTGGGAAAAGTTAGGCGGTCAATTAAAATATCGATGGCATCGAATAAATGGCTTGGTTCAAAAATTTGTTGGGTGTTACAAACAAGCTGTTAATGGAAAGAAAAGTGGGACTTCAGAGAACGATGTCATGGCCGCTGCACATGCTTTTTTTGCTCAAGATGAAGGTACAACATTCAATCTTGAGTATGCATGGAGATTGTTAAAAGATGAACCTAAATGGATGGGAGAATCGATTGGAAATTCTTCAAAAATAACAAATACTTCTGCTAGTGGGGCATCATCGGCTATCCTAGATACACCTTCAAGTTATGAGTTTAACTCATCATCACCAATGGAGCGTCCAATGGGACAAAAAACAACAAAAAGGAAGGGTAAGGCAAAGGAAATTCCAAATGCAACGCAAGATGCAAGGATTAAAAGAGCAGTAACAATGGAAATATTCGCTCAATGTAAGGAGGACGAGCTAGAATTAAAGGCAATGCATATCATCACGAAAGACACTTCCACTATGAATGATACTCAACAAGACCTTCATGAAAAATATTGTAATAAGATGAAAAAATATGGAATATAGTTAGTATCAACACCTACGTAAAATCGTCATTAGTACCACTTTAAATTATAATAAATATTATGTTGTTCAAACTAGCCGTTATTCAAACTAGCCGTTATTCAAACTAGTCATTATTCAAACTAGCCCTTATTCAAACTAGTCGTTATTCAAACTAGCCGTTATTCAAACCATTATATATACTAATACTACCACTTATGTCATTGTTTTCTCATTCTCATCTTATTCTTCTCTCATACTTCTCTAATTCTTCTCTCATTTCTCTCTCATTCTTTAGTCACTAAAATGGATTTAGACAATTCAGATGATTTCGACCAAGAATTTTGGGAGTTAGTTGAAGAAGAATTTATGGACGACAGTGATGAAGAACAACTGCTTGAGAATGAACGTCAATTTGGAAGTTCCTCTACGCCAAAGAGAAGAAAAGTTGTAGATCGAAGTCGTGAAGAAGGGTAGAAGCGATTATTCAATGACTACTTCTTGGAAAATCCAGTATACACAAATGTTCAATTTCGAAGAAGGTTCAGAATGTATAGGCATGTATTTCTTTGAATTGTAGATGGCCTTGGAAATCGTGATGAATATTTCCAAATGAGGATCGATGCAATTGGTAAAATGGGTCTTTCACCATTGCAGAAATGAACATCTGATATTCGTATGTTGGCGTATGGGTCTTCTGCTGATGTTGTAGATGAATATGTTTGAATAAGTGAAAACACTTTCATTTAGTGCTTACAAAGATTTGTTCGGGGGCTTGAATGTTGTATTTGGAGCTGAGTATTTGAGAAAGCCTAACAACACTGATGTTGAACATCTTTTACAAATGGGAGAGTCACATGGATTTCTAGGTATGTTGGGTTCCATTGATTGTATGCATTAGGAATGGAAAAAATGTCATGTTCCATTGGTGACATCATATTATTACGACTGCTTAAACAACTGTAGTATTACAATTGCACATGTAATACAAATATCTTATAAAATACCACTATAGTCTCAATTTCTTATCCTTCTTCTTCCAATAGTAATTTTCTCATTTATTTCATAAAGTTCATGTCTGCTATGAAAAAAGAAAAGAAAATCTAGTTATTTTGTTTTACTTGTTTTAAATAAGTAACAAATGTGTTATGATCAACGTTGCACAAGGAATAAAGTGATCCGGTGAGAAAGAGAGATTTTTTGAGCAAACACAAGAAATATGTTTCAATTTTCAAGAGAGAGAAGAAAAAATATAACAAAATTTATTAAAACGGTTTTACTAGGGTTTTCAAATTAAAAGTGAATAACAATCAATTTTTAACCCTCTCTCAACCACCTGAGAGAGCAGTTTATTTATAGATTACAAGTTAACCTAATCACTAAACTAACTTAACCAACAAGCTAATTTAAAGAATTGGGCTAACAGACTGGCCTAATTCGACATGCTAATAACATATCATATTTCGGTTGTTGCATGGTTGAGTGTACTTCGAATATAACATACAAGACTTCGACATCAACATGTGAACAAACTTTGACTTTATTTTTAACCACTGTCGAACCATGAAACTACCCCTGTCGAGACTAGAGTTTGATCCAAAATACCATAAATCTCCACCTTGGAACAAACTCTACAACAACAAGAGAATACACTAGCTTTCATCATGCATCTTTATCAACTGCATACAGTGGAAGAACTTGTTACTAGGCAATGACTTAGTGATCATATCTATAATATTGCGATATATCAAAATCTTCCTCACTTTGACTTCTTCACTTTTGATCTTCTTTCTGAGAAAATGCATCCTAACATTAAGGTGCTTTGTCATCTCATGATTGGATGAATTCTTCGAAAGATGTATAGTACTTTGACTATCACATTCAAAAATGATAACTTGATCTTGTAATTTCAGTTCCTTAACAAGCCTTTCAAGTCACAATGCTTCTTTCACAACCTCAGTGAGGGCAATATATTCAGCTTCAGTGGTTGATAAGGCACCAACCTTTTGAAGTGTTGCATTCCAACCAATTGTTATTTCAAACATAGTGAAAGCATATCCATAAAGAGGTTTTATGTATCCATACATTATGCATAGTCAGAGTCGACAAATCCTTCGACTTTGGCTTTTCCATCACTCATGGCTCCACCATGAACCAAGACTTTACTCATGTATCCTTTTATGCATCTCAGAGTCCATGTCATAGGTTTTTAGTGCGCCTTTCCAGGATTCTCCATGTACTTGCTTCAAGGCTAACTTCATATGTTATGTTTGGCCTAGTATAGACTATGACATACATCAAAGAACCTATTATACTAGTATATGAGATGTTATTCATATAAGCTCCTTTAACTTCAGTACCAAGACTTTGTGTCGTGCTCAACTTGAACTGAGGATTGGTCGGTGATACAACAGGATTCGAATTTGACATACCAAATTTGTCAAGAATCTTCTTCATGTGTGTCTCTTGACATAAGCGTAATTTCGAACGCTTTATATCTATATGGATGTCAGTCCTAAGAATTCTGGAGGCAACTCCCAAATCCTTCATACCGAACTTCTTATCAAGTTGATCCTTCACCTTCATTATATCATCAACGTGTTTGCTTTCTATGAGGATTTCATCTACATAAAGCAACAAAATAATAAGTGAATTTTCTGGTCAAAATTTGAAGTAAACACAATGGTCGAACTGGCTTCTAGTGAAACCTATGTGTACCATGAACTTGTCGAATCTTTTGTTCCGTTAACAAGGAGAATGTTTCAGGTCGTATAACAACCTATTCAACTTGCACACATAATCTTCCTTTCCTTTT